CAATTAAATCAGTGTTTGAGAGATTTGCCAAGCAACTGCATACATTAAGTGGACTGGAGTGGGAGGGAGACCTGGAGTGGCAGAGAGGTAAGTTATTAAAGGACTGATTCAGCCATGAAGCAATGATGATCTGGGACCTCAATGGTAACAGGGAGAACAGAGGAAAATGCAAACCTGACAGATTTCAAAGGAAGAACATAAAAGATAAAGAACAGATAAGATGGCCCCAAGGTTTCTTACCTAGGCTAGATACTGACAGATATTGAATTATTGGACAGGGATATGACAGAAATTATCCTCTCTTGTATTTAATAAGTAATTATTGAATTAGGAACAAGGTTTTTCCCTTTTCCACTTCATCATCCAGAAATCAGCCCTTACAGGTTCTTACTCAGGCAGCTTTTGAAGTGCAGGACTAATACCGAGGGGGAGAACTCAGATCCGTTCAAAAGATAAAGTTAGGTAAATGGATGGATTCTGGCCCACTGTGTTTGGGAATATCTCCCTTTTGTCAGACACGTGATATGGATTCAGATAATTCTCTTTGACCAAAACTGACTGATCAGTCATGTACAGCAGACCCCCATTGGAATAGGTCCACCTCTATAATATTCAGTCTCTCATTAATTGGTAACCAATTAGAGTTTATTTCCACCCTCAGGAACGTCCACTCATCCAAGGGCATATAAGCATTGAGTGGGTTCCACGAGGAGTCTTTGGTCTAAGAGAGACAGTCAAATGACCATCCTTTTATTAATAATATGGTAGCATTATTAATAAAATGATTACCCAGAAACCATGTCTCTCAAACTTTTTATATGTCACAAATACCTATTTTTGGAAAGAAGATAGAATTTTGGGCCCAGAAATGTAGGTACATACCATATTGGCAAGTGGAAGAAGAGAGTCAACCAGAGATATCCAGATATACCAATAAGGAATGAAGATGTAGATAAGGGAGTTGTTCAATATTTCAGTTTACCCAGCATTAATTAATCAGCTAATTGCAGCTACTAAATGTACAAGACATTCTGGTTAGGTGCTGATGATAGAATGATGAAAAATGATTGTCTCTTCTCTCAAAGATCTTATAAGTTAATCAAGAAGTGGGATACAATATGCATATAAACAAATAAGTCTATTGTTACATTTAAGGGTTGTATCAAAGAATCATGGTACAATATGATTATTTGTGGGTCTTAACTAGGAGGTGACCATTTCAGAACTTCAAGGAGGCACAGTATCCCTGACCCATATTTTCAGCCCCACTGCATGCCGTTCTGTAATAATATTTAGTTTCTCCTTCACCCACCCTCCTGACCCCCTGCCAAAGTATGGCTACAAAGTCCTATTTCTGTACTTTACCAAAGATGCTAGCCATGTGAGTAGAGAGGACAGGACTGGCAGGGAGAGATATTTTTGTAAATTGAATAAACAGGACTTGGAAGCTGACTGAATGTAAAGAAGGAGAAAGAGTTAAAGATAAATCAAAGATTTTTGTGCCCAAGTGACCAAAAAGAGGAAGTCTGGAATTTATTAGAAAGTGGATTGTTTTGGAAATGTTGACTTTGAGATACTCTGGAATATATACAAGAAGAAATATCCCAAGGGTCTGTTGCAGATCACATCAGTACAGAATGTCGAGTTGGAAGGGGCTACAAGGGCCATTTAGTCCAACTCGGTTTTAGAAGAAGTTAAGGAAGTGATTGGGACTGGACATAAAGATTTGGGAATTATCTGCATAAGAGAAAATAACTGAAGCAATAGGAATGGATATTTGGCAAGGGAGAGAAGAAAGAAAAGGATAGACACTTAGGAGATACACTTGAGGGGTGGGAGAAAGAGTGACACAGTAAATAAGACTGAGGAATGGTCAACTTGGTAGAAGCAGAACTAAGAGAGAATAGTGCTACAGAAGACAAGAGTGTCAAATGCTGAAAAAAGGCCAAAAGTGAGAAAGACCAGTAGGAAATTAAGAAGCCATTGGAGATCATGGGAATGGCTAGCATTTACATAGTGCTTTAAGATTTTCATAGCACTTTACAAATATTATCTCATTTTGTCCCTACAATAACCCTGAGAGGTCGGAGTTGTTATTATTATCCCCATTTTACAGATGAGGACATTGAGGGGGACAGCAGTTACGTGACTTGTCCACAGACATATGGCTAGTAAAAAGTATCTGAGGCTGAATTTGAACTCAGGTCTGCCTAACTCCAGGTCCAGTGTGGGCTAACTACCTGCCACAGAGAGCGTATTGAGCATAATGGTGAGATTAGAAGTCAGATTGCAAGAGGTTGAAAAACAGGTGGTAGGGAAGTAGAGACAAATTACTCTTTCTAATAGTTCAGCAATGAAGGGTAGGAGAAATATACGACAATAACTAAAGGGTTTTTTCAGTGTAAATAGGTGTCTTTTTTTTTTTTTTAAAGATGAGGAGTCGACTTACTTAAAGGCAAATGAGGAAGTTAAACTTACCTAGAGTGGATGGGGGAGGGAGAAGGAGGAAGAGAGAATAAAAATAGAGAGGAGATAGAAAACAGGAAACTATTTCTCCTTCTGCATTCCCAGGCAAGGGGTGGATCTCCCAAGCCCAAATCATCCCCCAGGAGCCTTGTTGGTGGGAGGGTATTCTATCTCAAAAAACAACCTGAATATTCAGAACATAACACTCCAAACCCCCGTTCAATTATGGGAGGGATTTCTGGGAAAGAGGGTGTCTTCTCTCAAGCCTATTGTTCAAAGGAGGGTCTGGCAAAGGAAAACTATCATTGGTCTTGTGGAGGGAGGTGTTTTTTGTGGTCCTGCCTCCAATTTCCTTCTTTGGCTCTGAATTTGTCTATTTTGCCTTTCACTCAAACAGGCCAACCTGCAGAAATTAAAGACAGAGGAATATGTACATCAGAAGAGGGAGCTCCTGGCCTTATATAGGGACATCGAATCTCCTAGCACCAGGCCTCCGACCCCCTCTCCTGACGGCTCTCAGAGCAGTGTAGAAGACCACAATCTGGAGAGGAGGTAGATATAATTATCCACATCCTCAACCAACAGAGTTATGGGAAGGGGGACCACAAGTGTAAGACAGATCATTCAGAGGGAATAGAATGGGTTCGGAGTATTTGGAGTCCAGGCTACCTAGATTAAGTGATGGGTAACTGCATCAGACATTAATTGAAGAGTATTAGACAGGCCTAGGGGGTTAGTAAGCCAGGGAAGTAAGAACAGCACTAGGTAATCATGACAGAGACAAATTATGAGTTCTCACACCTTCAGGGTATAGATGAATGTGTTTGTGCAGTCATAGAATTGTACTGCTAGAAGAAACCTTAAATTCCCATATTCTATAGATAGGAAAGCAGACTTAAAGTGATCTGCTCCAGGTGACACAGGTCTACTCATTCCCAAACCAGTACTCTTTCTCTCTCACCACAGTGCTGGAGAGGAAAGGAATCTCTCCTTAGAAAGATTCTCTTCTCAGAGCAGTGGGAGATCGCTTCTAGCTGGAGCAAAAACTTTTGAGATAAAATTTGACCCAGTATTTGCTCTCCTACATAGCAGATCTTCAGAGTTTTCAGCCCTTGTCCCTCAGCTGGTGGTCACAGAAGACAGAGAAGACTCTTCTCTCGGCCTGGATGATGGCTCTGACAGTGGCTATGGTACAATACCTGGCTCCCTACATGGGTCCCAATCCCCACTGAACCGGAGACGCTGGCCTGCCCTCCGCCAGGACCCCCGACTGACCCTCTCCACCCTGGACCTCCGAGACATCCCTCGAAGACTCCAGCCTTCCAATCCCCACGCCCCTCAAAGACTGAGTGCCCCTGACCTCCCTGAGGAGGATATTATCCACAGAGGGCATAACCTTCCACGGAGGGAGTCCCCACCCTGGTCTGAGAAAGAAGAGGAGGAAGAAGTATCCTCGACAGGAGGGGATGTAGTAATGGAGACTCTGCACCGAGCTAGGCTTCGGGGACAGCTACCTCTCTCACCACCTCAGGTAGACTCGGCAGGAGAGAGCCCCTGGAACTCCTCAGGGGAAGATGAGGAGGAAAGTACTCTGTTTGTGGTACCCAAACGCTATTCCACGTCCTACTCCTTACGAGCAGAAGAAATGCTCCAGGAGATACGGGAGGACCTGGCCAGCCAGCGGATTGATGTAGTCACAGAGACAGTGAGAGAACCCAGGGACAGACCACCCCAGAAGCTGACAGTAGTCGAACTACAAAGGATGCGTAGGTCTCAAATCATACAGCTAGATACCCCGTTAACCACATCGTAAGTACTGCCTGGAAGAGAATATGAAGGAAGGCTTGGGAGGGGGTGTATAAAGAACAGTAGTGAGGAAGGGTAACATGGAGGGTGAAATGCTCGATAAAAAGGTTGATCAAAGGGAGGGAAAGGGCACCCTAGCCAGGATCTTCACTACAAACTAATCCCTGTTCACTCTTTGACCTTTTCCCATGCATTTGAAACATTAGAGTGCTACTGACACTCCCCTCACCCCTTTTCTCTATCTCTTTCCAGGGAGGTATAGCCTCACTCAGGACACCTAAGATTTCTCCTAGAGGACATCTGATCCAAGGAGTATTGGTCATCTACCCAACTCGGCCCAAAGCCAGACCCAGGCACCCACCTGCTGCATGAAAGTTTGGGATTAAGACTGTATATTTCTGTATCATAAACACTCTTTAAGTTCAAATAAGATTCTGTATAGAAAATAGTGACGGGAGTGGCTGTGTGTGAGGTGAAAAGTGGTAGTTGGGGTGAAACCAAAAGAGGGCAGCACAAGCCTGGACAACGTATTTACTCTTTCACAACAGAAACTAGAAAACATTGCTCCCAATCTCCCTCCTCAGGGTCTTCCAGTTCTGTCTCCATTCTCACATCTGCTGGTCCAAATTACAGTCATCTGGGTCTATGACCCAACTCCTGCCCGCTTTGATCCCTCCCTTTGTAAAGCCACTGACTTCTCACAGCCAAAGCAAACATAAGAAATGTAATCCATTTACTAAATGATCCAGAGCTTTAATTTCAAAAATTTTAGTGTACAATATTTACAAAAAGATAATTCTGGCCTCTGCCTTCAGCCTCCTAACCCACATGACACCTAGCATTTGACTCCCACTCCTCTAAGCTGAGATAAAAGAGGAAACCATGTGAGGTGGTACGAGGAGGAAGGAATGATGCTGGGTTTACATTAGTGTAAAAAAAAAAAACTGTTACAAAGACTGCTTGTTTACCATGTATGGAGAAGCAGTGACCAAGCCTGAGCGCCCAAGCCTACTTATCTGTAGCCTGAGTTGCCCATACTCCATCCATTAGTGCTCCACGTTTTATCTGCATCCTCAGATGCATCCCAGAGATCCCCAACCCTACTCAGATAATATAGTTTGGTAAAACTACACCCCACTTAGCAGTGTTCCTTTTACTTTTCCACATTCACATAGTGCATTAATAGCTGAGAAAGTCAGGGTACACTGACTGCATATAGCACCAAATAAACAGTGAGCTAGGAGCACTACAGAAATGGGGCTCCCCAAAGACTGCCGACGTGGATAAGTGCAGGGTATTTTCAAAATCGTCCACCCGGTCTGCCCTGGGGCTCCACTGAGCCCTTCCTGGGAAGGGAAATAATCCTTGGGGACTAGGTCCCATATGCATGAAGGGTCCACAAGGGGTGAGGCCAAAAAAGGGAAATAAGTGCTTGGTACAGCCTCACCTAGAGAGAGGGGACAGAGGTCCAGAGGGGTTGCCCAGCTTCAAGGTCTCTGTGATGTTCTGCAGGCAACCATGTAAGTCCATGTCAGTGAGCACCTGGGCCAGCACTTCCAGAGTGGCCTGGTGCCGGGGTACTCCCTTCTGCCACGCTGCTAGCATGCTATAGTGGGCTTCTCTAAGGCAGCGGGGGTTCTGCATCTCACAGAGTTCAATATCATTCTCATTCAGTCCCAAACGGCGTATGAACTCCCTCCAGCGGGTGGGAGGCACTTCGTCTACCACTGCATACAGCTTGGCTGGCCCTGTGGGAGGGAGAGAGGGAAAGCATATGAAGGGATGCCAACCAGCTTCAGCAGTACAGAGCAATGGAAAGACTGGCTTGTAGCTGAAACCTTCCCATAGGCACTTTCTTCCCCATTCGAATGTGACCTCCCAGAGTACCTTACTTTGCTTTTTTCTATCTCCAGAGTTTAATCCAATGCTTTGCAGAGTAAGCAATCAACCTTGATTCTTGCCTCTGTTGTCTCCCCATCCCTCCACCCCGTTATATTATAACCTTCTTGAGGGCAAGGGCTATCCTTCTTACTAATTGAATCCCCAGCACTTAGCACAGTGCCTGGCACATGGTAGATGCTTAATAAATACTTATTGGATGGGACTTGGACCCCACCTCTGTGACCTACCTCCTAACTTTGTGACTTTGGGCACATCATGAACCCTCTGAGCCTCAGTTTTTTCAACTGTAAGAATAAATAGCCACTATTTATATAGCACTTTTAAGGTTAACAAAGGGCTTTAGCAACATTATTTCATTTTATCCTTAAAACAGTAGCATGGATGCTAGTAGTAATAGCAAATATTAAATATATCTATAAACTTTGCTATTAGATTAATAACAAATATTAACAATAATAATCAATGGGGATACTAGTTATCCCTTTTGCAGATGAGGAAACGGGCACAGGGCAGTAAAATCACTTGTTCTGGATCACACGTCTGGGCAGTGACTGAGACAGAATCTGAACACGGCACTTGGCAGTCGGGGCTGCAACATGGCCAATTCCAAGCTGCTTTCCATTTATAAATCCTATTATCCTACAACTCTCGCCCCACTTACCCTCCAGATTGCCCCACAACCCGGTTCTTGAACAAACAAGATTTCGCGCAAGCACACTCCTTTCCTATCCTGGGGGGAGGGGCCAGGTGCCCCAGAGCTCAAGCTGGGTGGGCTGAGCACTCACTGTCAAGACGTAGGGCGGTGACGTCATACACGACGCAGTCTGATGGCATCTGCGCGCAGTGAATGGTGGGTTCGGCCCGCTGCTGGGGCGGTGCCAACGTCACGATAGGTTGTACATTGTACACAGTCGACCAATTGCTTGAGGAGAAGGTGGAGGGGAGGGGAGGGGCCGCGGTGGAGACGGAGATGGGGGCGGGGGCCGGGGCCGGGGCCGGGGCTGGAGAGGAGGTGAGGGTTTGGGAGGGGACAGGAGTGAAGTCCAAGGTAGGGGGTGGGACCAGAGCCCGCTTATTTTCTTCCTGGAAGAATTAAGGGGAGGAGTCATGCCGGAGCCACGCCCCCTCTCCCTGAGGGCGGGGGAGGAGAGGGAGCGAGCCCTCAGGCCTGGTCTATATCCCCAGGGGCGTCCCTAGCATGGAACCTTAAGGTTGTTTGTGGGGCAGAGGGGCTTAGCCAAGGGGGCATGATAAAGGAGGGGAGATGAGAGATTAGGGGAGTCAAGAAGAGATTTAGGGGGTTCGGGCTGTTTGTTAGAGATTCAGGGAGTGAGGTGTTGGGGGGATGAGGGGAGTAGTCAGAGACCACCACTAAGGGGAGAGAGAGGGGAGCTAAAGGGGGTCCCACATCTAGTCTCATCTTACCTCTTTTACAGGAGGAGACTGTCTCCCACAGACTGAAAAAGAGAAACAAAGACATCACAATTTTCACTTCCTCATCCGTGCCTTCCCTTTCCCCTCTCTACCCATCCCCTTCCCCCTACAAAAAAGAAAAAATAAACCTCACTACAATGGGGACCTGTGGTGACACGCACCAGGGCCTGTGTGCTTTCTCACCGACTGAGGGAACTCCTGACTCAGCAAAAGGTCATCTGCGTCCCAGATGCACACTTCTTAACACTTCACTTGTCTGGGACCTCGGTTTCCTCATCTTTAAAATGAGGGGGTTAGAAGATCACCTCTAATCTTCCTCCAGGTTTAAATCTGTGACCCTGTGACTCCAGCTTTGTAACCCTCAGCGAGCTGCTCAACTTCCCCCCTCAGCCTGAGTTTCTTCTGCTGTAACATGGAAATAATACTGCTCCTACTCCCCACTTCACAGATGTTGGGCAGAAAGTTACGTAAACCTTAAAGCTGAATACATGTAAAGTTATTACCAGTTACCCAGCAGCCCATCCCATATTTCTTATTTCTTATCCTCACCAAATATGACCCCAAGACTCTACTCACCGATTACATACAGTTTGGACCTCCATCGTGGGTAATGACAGAATGAGACAATGAAGATGAGGGAGAAGCAACAAAATCCCAAAAAGATCACCAAGGGCATCAGCACTGGACCTAGCGACAAAGAAAGTCTTAATATGTGAACAGAAAATATAAGGTCCATCTGCCCTCCGTTAAGGTGCTCAGATTCTTAAGATCTGGCCCGCTTGCATCAGTGATACAAACGCTTAGATTCCTTAAGAGTCTGGCCAATATGGCGGATTCTTTAAATCTCACCCACCCCCAATTGATGTTCTAATAAAACTTGTCTTTGGCTAAAAAAATAAAAATGTGAACAGAAAAAAAAAAGGAAACAGGGAAGGAGAGGAAGGATGGAGGGGAAATTATTGATAGAGGGGAGCAAGGCTGGAGGAAATGGGGTAAGTGAGCATCCTATTAAGTCTCACCTGATGGCTGTGATTTAACAAAACTTGGGGTGCAGACACTCATGCAATTTTTCTCTGGCACACATCTAAAAGAGGAGAAAGAAACGGGTAAATACTTCTGGCCAAATACAGATCGGTCAGTCAGCAACACTGATCTATGTAAAGTCTTAGAAGGCGGCAATGCAGTATGATAGAAAGACTTGTTGACTTGGAGGTGCCAAGACCTAGATTTAAATTCTGCATCCTTAATGGAAGTCACCTCAGTTCTTTGACTTCAGTTTCCTCCTGTGTAATAAATACTTCACAGGGTTGTTGTGAAGATCAAATGAGATAATTATGTAAATCACTTTGCAAAGCTTAAAGTAATATAAAAACGTAAAAGTAAAAACGTTAAAGCAATAGAAAAACATAAACTGTTATTAGTCATATATAAAGTCATATCTTTAGAACAAATTCCAAAATGTTCTTCATATAACTTATGTTGGAATTTGATTGAGTTAAATGTTGTTTCAATAAATAAATAACTTTTAAACAGACTTTTGAAACTGCTGGTTATTTTGCTTCAAACACATTTCAATATAATACATATTATATATATTTCAAACAGGTCTTTGATGAGATCTTGGAAATCTTGTTATACAGAAATTTTCATTGTAACTTTATTCGGCATATTGGCATTTGGCCTGCATTACACACTACTGGAAAATATAGAGAAACAAAACAAAATCACAGAATTTTAGATACGAAAGGGATGGGTAAGACTTTAAATCTCCCTGGGACCTGTTTCCTTCTCTGTGAAATCAGGGAATTGGACTAGCTCAGAGAGATCAAACACATTGTCAGCAGCCCAAGACATTCCCAAGTGCAGCCCAAACCAGATTAAAATGGAATTGGAAAATATTTAACAAAATAATTAAAAAATACAATCGTTCAGTCATTTTTCAGTCGTATCCAACCTTCGTGACCCCATTTTCGGTTTTCTTGGCAAAGATATTGGACTTGTTTGCCATTTCCTTCTCCAGCTCGTTTTATAGATGAGGAAACTGAGGCAAACAGGGTTAAGTGACTTGCCCAGGGTCATACAGCTCGTAAGTGTCTGAGGCAGGTCTTCCTGACTCCTGGCCTGTTGCTTTATTCACTGTGCCACTTAGCTGTCCATAAATGTGTGTGTATATATATATATATATATACACATATGCACACATGTGCACACATGTATATGTATAGTAGAACATAGATAATATTAATATATGGTTTTCTAAGTCAATATACAGCTCACAGGGATCCTAATGTACAGTTTAGTGGCTCTGGTTTTTATCTGAGTTTGAAACCACTGGACTAGGTGACTTCCAAGCTCCCTTCTATATCTTAGATTTTCTTTAACATAGGACCTAACGGAGAAAATAAAGCAAATGTACATTTATGAAAAACACAGCAGAAACATGAACATAATTAGGAATGTCCAGGCAATTAGTATAAAGTTATATTTCAGTGCGAGTTATTTACTCCTCAGAAATCTGAAAACACTACAAATCAGAGCTATATTTATTGTTTTGTTGACTGTTTAGATTTCAAAGAGTGATGGAGAAAGAGTTAATAATGCCAATTAAACTGAAAAGTGTGTTTGTTAGCTGTATTTTAAACATTTACCATCATACCCCTGTATATAAAGCTCTTTTTATATGAACAAACTGAGAGTGCTTTTGGAATGTTTTAGAGTGGCAGAACTGAGTCCAGCTAGTTTAGAAAAACTGCCTAGAGGAGGTGAGAATTGAAGAGGATTACAAAGGAGTGGAACAGTTTGATGATGAGGCTAAAGGGATACTCCTTATCTATATGGTCCTTTAAGATTTACCAAGTGTTTTCTTCACAACAGCCCTTTGGGGGATGCACATGTATTATGTATAATACATATAATAATGTATTGTTATCTTCATATTACCCAGATTCAGAGAGATAATGTAACTAGCCCCAGGTCACATAGCTAGTGAGTACTGGAGCCAGTACTAAAACATAGGCCTTCTGACTCCAAGTCCAATGCCTTTTCTCCTAGGGATACCACAGTCTGAAATTCTCCTGCAGAGGCTTAGAGACCAGAAGAGACAAGAACTGTTGGACAGAGGGAGGAGAAACACGTAGAGGGATACAGGCTACCAGAATTGCTGTGTAGGAGTATTCCTCAGGAAGGATTTTTCAGAACACCAAGTGACAATGCCCCAAAGTAGGATCTGAGACAGATCATGTAAAGAAGGAAATTTAAATGAATTATTGTGAGTAATAAATTTATATGACATAAGTATTTACCTTCACCAAACACTAGCCAAAGGTGTCTAATTAAATAATTAATAAAATAATAATATAATTAATATAATTAGCAAACAGTTGGTAAAGATTGCTTTCTGTATAAGAGACTGCTCAGATACCCCTATGAAGACATCTGCTTGACACGCTACAACAAATATTTTATTAAGCACCCCACTATACGCATGGCACAAAGACAAAAAGAGTCCCTGGTTCCAATGAGCTTTCCTTCTTTAGTGGAGAAGTAATATGAACACAGATAAGTATAATACAGAGTAAAGACAGAAGGCAGCAAAGAAGAAATCAGACCAAGAGTTTTAAGAATAGTTTAAGAGGGAGAATGTTAATATCTGGAGGGGAATCAGGAAAGGCTTCATAAAGAAAAGGCACCTAAGCAGAGGCCCCAGATGAACCTGAGAAAGGCAGAAATGAAGAGGGAATGCATTCCAGCCAGGGGAGACAGCATGTGTGAAAGGACAAAGGCCATCTTCTGATGGAATGTTGAGTTTGGAGAAAGGCAAGTGGCCCAGTTTGGCCAGATTGTAGGGAGTGCATGAAGGAGAGTAGGGCTAGAGAGATGGGTAGAACCCAAAAGGTGGACAGCTCTTAGTCATTGAGTCTGTTGCAGAGTTTTGTTTGTAGAACCTTTAAACACTAACATTTTACAATTATCCCTTCCACATCTTGACTTTCCCCATTGAAGTTCTGATATGTCATGGGTTGGCATAAGAAATTAAATGGGAATTTTTAGGGAGTTTTGTGGAAGCCTCAGATGACACTTGAAGGCCAGCAGATGGCACAGAGCCTATGACCAAATACTCAACCCAAATTTTACAATAAGGTACTATGAACACCCCATAAAAGAAAAAAAATTCAGACTTCTTCTCTGGTATGAAGAGAAGACAGATTTTCCACATGGGGGAGTGGAGGAGCACTGAGCCCCTAACCCCCGAGATATGGAAGGAATAACTGTATTATTTAAAAACAACTGAACAATGACTTTATTTAAAACAGTGGATAATAAACTGAACTAGAAAGAGCTTTATCACAATAACATTAAATGATTACCTTTTTTGCACTTTGTTTTTTTTTAAATTTTTTTTAATTCTACTTTATCTGTGGTAATTTAATTGACTTTTTTGGTCATAAAGAAACATTTTGGGGCAGCTAGGTGGCACAGTAGATAGAGAGCACCAGACCTGAAGTTAGGAGGACCTGAATTCAAATCTGGCCTCAGACCAAACACTTGACACTTACTAGCTGAGTGACCCTGGGCAAATCACTTAACCCCAATTGCCTAAAAAAATGAAACATTTTTATTTTTATCTAAATATAGATAGGTTGGGTTCTTTGTCTTCCAGTCCTAAAGCTATGCCTGAAAAAAAATATTGGTGGGGAGAGGCAAGGATGCTTACCTGGTAGCAACAGCTAGAAGCACTTTGTCTACAAGAATAAATAAAGTTCACCTCACAGACAGGACCCCAAACCACAAAACTGATGGAACCATCACAGCCACAATAAATTGGACACTAGCATAGGTAGGCCAGACCTGATTTATTGCCTTAAGTTATCATTATTAAATGCCTTATTTCCAAATGGTATTCCAGGTTCAAGGACTGAGTGAAAGCTGATAAGATTGGGGGGTTGGGAGGTGGTATTCAGTAAGATATATATAGTCCTGTTACATGCTTGATAATTCCTAAACATAGTCCTGGGAGGCTAGGTGGTGCGGTGACAGAGTGTCAGGCCTGACATCAGTAAAACCCATTTTCATGAGTTCAAATCCAGCCACAGACACTAGCTGTGTGATCCTGGGCAAGTCACCTAACCCTGTTTGCCTCAGTTTCCTCATCTATAAAATGAGCTGGAGAAAGAAATGGCAAACCACTCCAGTATCTTTGCCAAGAAAACCCCAAATGAGGTCACAAAGAATTGGACACAACTGAAAATGACTGAACAAAAAACACAGTCCTAGTAGATGATGAGACCTGGTATAGGGCTTTGAGTGTGATATAGACGAAAGTGGAAAAAATAGCTTGAATGAAGGGCCTTAATCATGAAAAGAAACATAGTTTTAGAACTCAGACAGTGTATTTCTGCTTCTTTCATTTGGCAAATAGTGCTAAATTGTTCCTTCTCAAAGACTTCTTGACACATGGGACCTCAATGTGAGGTTAAAAAGTGGGGAAGGGAGCTATCTGGTCTCTAGAATGAAGCAAAGAGCCAGTGGGGTATATGGTACCCTCCCATCCCTCACTAGCATTTCCCTCCATCCTCCCAGTAGCTTCCCTAACCATTCTTTTCCCTTTCCACCCTCAACACCCACCTCTCACCCCCAGAGCTGACAAGAAATACTCACTCATCACATGAGATGCATTTGTGACCATGCCAAAAGAAATCTTTGTTACAGATACACACAGCATCCTGTTTCTCCTGACCTGTAGGTAGATGTAATGCATTAAGATGAACTCTCAAGACAGGAAGAAGGACCTGACCCTAACCAGGGGAGGGGGTGTACTATCTAGATAGTGGAGAAGGCCTTTGGGAAATGGTTCATAGAGACTGCTTTAGGAAGTAAGGGAAAAGGGAATGTTCATTCAACTGGAAGGGGAAAGGGAGATGTTAGTGGGGAAATGTCCAAAAAGGAAGGGGAAGAACTTATGGTCAGGGAAAATTGTGAGGATTTGGGGAATGGTGCTCTCACATGGATGTCGTATCGTGCCATTGAGGCACGGGTTGCAGTTGACACATCTAAAGAGTCCATTATCTTTGTCCCCTTGCCTTTGCTGAAATTGGTTCTCCCCACATCCACACACTGTGTTTCTTGAGACTGTGCAGGTTTTCTTCAGTATCTGGCCCATCTCTGTTAGGAAGAGATGAACGATCTCTTTAGAGATCAACTCTATACTTCGTTATTTCTTTTCTTACCATTCCACATCCTCCAAGTAGTGTAGATAAGGTCTCCACTGTTACACAAACATGCATGTATTCACCCCACTACTATCCACCCTCTAACCAGCCTTACCTGGGAACACCATTCATGGAACTTCCCTGCTAATGGGCTCCATCTGTCTCCCAAGGACTCACCTTTTCTGCAGACAGAACAGCTGTGGCACCTCGAGAAGTAGTTCTCTATCTCAGTGTATGTGCCCTTTTCACAGGTCTTACAGTTAGGTGCAAGGTCTGGGCCACCACAGTCAGCCTCCAAATAAGTCCCTACAGTAAGGTAGAGAGTTAGACTAGGTGGTCAATGGAGTATGAGAGATAGAGCAACAGAGTAAAGTGAGAATCAGAGAGGATCTCTGTCCCAACAGGGACAAGGCCAGGGGATGAGGGGATCTGTTTTGGAGAGAAGCCAGAGAATTGAAGCCCAGAAAAATCAGTACATTAGGGAGACCCTGGGTATGGAAGTGCATGAAGACTTCAGGAAAAGCACCCAGTTAATGACCAAATTTGGTCCCCAAGAAAGGGATTGAGAGAAGGCACTTCTTATTCTTTGCAGAAGTAGGGGACAATGGGGTATTGAATGTTGCATATAACATCAGACTTTTTTTAATACATTAGTTAATTTTGCTGAACTATTTTTTACTCTATTATAAAAAGAATGATGAGGAGGAAGGAACACAAAGGTGATGAAAAAAATTCTAAGGAAATGTAAGTGATATAAGCAAAAGATACTAACAAAAATTTATTTTTACAAAAAAAAGTAGGAGTCAGTTCTGTGAAGGAATCCAATACTATCACCACTTTATACCTTTGTGACATTTGAGACAACAGATAGATTCATTTTTCGGATGTTTATATTTCCCCTGGGGACACTCAATGTCTCTCTTTTCTTGATGCCTTTTATGGGTAGACATCCCAGGAGCTACGGGAAGGTACAGTCCCACCATTAGGGCCAGGGCCACCTGGAGAAAAACCAGACATGAAAGAAAAAAAGAAAACAACCCATCAGGGGAAAGATGGTGAAGGCACAGAAACCTGAGAGGTCTTTATTCTACCCAAATCTCACCCATCTTTTAAGGTTTAACTTGATTCACCTCCTCCATGAAGCCTTCCATCTCTAACTACTTCACCAGTGCCTATCTTGTCTCTCCGCTATCATTAGCAAGTGGCTGAAAGACAGCTACATTCTATGCTTTGCCTTCATTCCATTTCTCCCCTCCTCAGATTTAGTTCAGTTGTCCTAATTTACTTTCCTTCCTAATTATTTTCCTTCTGATGAACAGCCCTAAAAAAGAAGAGTGATTTTGGTCAGGAATACGATCAGGGTTTAGTTAGATTTTTGGGGGGGAGGGGGAAGGGGGTTGATGGGTTTTTTTAATGTTCCAAGGCAAATGTCAAGAACTATAACACCAATATACATATTTCTAGCACCAATACCCCTAGGACTAAGGTGAAAAGTGTAAAGGTGGGGCAGAAGGACATGGGTCAGATGCTGGGTGGTAGTAAATACAGATTTGGTAAATGAAAGAATGGGGAACGGCATGGGGGTCAGAAGTAGCTGTCAGAGAGGAAGAGGTCATGAACAGGTCTGACCTCAGGTCAGAGGATAAATAAAGTTTGACTGAATGACCTCAAAGAGACCACTAAGTTCCAAAATCATGATTTTATGTTTTGCCGCAGTGGGCTGCATTCTCCAGGTTGGAAGAAATACTTCCTAAGCCCTTTCTGGGCTTTGTACCCAGGGCATTTACCATGATGCTAAAAGAAGTCCTTTCAATTCCTAGATCTTAGCTCCATCTCCAACTTGGCTGTATGACCACAGATAAGCCCTTTGCTCTCTCTAGGCCCCCATTTTTCCTTTTGCAAGCCAGAGAGCACAATCTCCCATGCCTCTCTAAGCAGAAAGACATGTCCTCAAAGTAATTTAACTTCTGGGATTTAATCATTTAACTTCAGTTCTATGAATTGGTGGTACTCATCACTGTAGGAGTATGTCAGGTGCTCATAAAGGAGCTCTCCAAGTGCAGTTTTAAATATCCATAATCTCCAAGGCAAGGGAGCTCATTAGAGAGAGCTCCAGGAGTTGGCATCTCTTAGGACTTTTCCTGGACTCAGTGATTATATGAAGAAGAGAAAAGAGTCATATGGAAAGAAAAGAATTCATGTGTTTCTGGGCTACCATTGGCAATCAGCCAAATTGGAACAGTCTACAAAGTAGAAGATGCCAGGAACCCTCACTTAGTGGGTTCAGGTTCCAGACACAGGGAAAGTTTGGGAACCTATGAGGTCAACTCTGTCTATCAGCTGCAAAGGAAATGGCAGACCAGAGCCAGAGCCACGGCAAACCCAACTCCAGGGAGGATGCCACTTCCCTCTTCATGGAGTGGTTCTCCTGGGTTCCAGTCCTTCACCAACTCTCTAACTTGAACTCTTAAAGTTTGTGCTGGAGCTTCTCCTCATAAATAGCAGCTCCCTCCCCTGAACCATTAATGGAAGCCATCCTGGAGAACTGCATCACAGGAACTTGATGTACCCTATTATAATCATATCAGAGAAAACACGGCCAGAAGAAAGAAAGGACTTCCAGGCTACTGATCTAACCCTTTAGCCTCAGCAGAGTAATAGCTAAGTTAAAAAATCAACTCTTTCAGATAAATGTAACCAGGACCAATGTTGGGCCTTTAACTGTTCTAAACTACCATTTACTGAGACCCCCAGGGAATAATGAGTTGAGGACTAGTGGAACAATGCTGATGACCACTCTGCAATCCCCTGAGTTTTAAGGAAGAGAGCACTCCAAGTAGGTAAGAAGTCCTGGGGGAGGGTGTGGAGGAGATTCTCAGAAGGAAATCATGTGATAGGAAGAAAGGAAGATCTAAACACATGTGTCCAGAATGGGGTTTTCTCCCCTTCCTTTCCTTTGCCCTCAAAAGAGACTTCTTCTACAAATCAAGGGAGATGCAAGGAACAAGCATTTGTTAAACACCTACTATGTGTCAGGCACTCTGTTAAGCACTTTATAAATATTAAGACTACAGTCAGACTGAGGGTCTCCACATGTGACACAGCTAAGACCAGGGAACTTTAGGAGTCAGCTATCTGGGTTGCTGTTTGCTACAGCCCACATTTCTATCTGTGGTGACTAGGACTCACAGTAAAAAAATCTGAGACTGGACTGTGGCTAGTGTCCATGTACCAGTGCTATTAGCAGACCAGATGTAGAAGTGGCGACCAGAATTAGAGGAGGACCCCATGAGCAGGAAATGGTCCACTATTATAAAGACCCATGTAGTGGCCAGTCAAGGACTTATTTCTCTTCCTGATTACCCTTGCCTTCCATGCTTATATTCTGAGGTCAATGGACACGTACCTCCTCCACCCTCCCCTTATTTCATTTTCGTGGTCTGTAAGTGAGTGAGGTTAAGAAACCCCACACTGCACCCAAGACCAGGGAGGAGAGTCTGGAGTTGCAGAAGTTGCGCTGAGGGCTCGCTGTGGGAACACTTGAGTTTTTCTTTCATTTTTACTATCCCTAGTAAACTAGGTGACCCCAATATGTTGTCTGCCTGTGTTCTGCAAATGAAGGGGGCTATTTAGCAGAAAGAAGAAAGCAGAAATGGGAAGTGGGTTTGGAGCAAACCTCCTAAATTTTTTAAACAATCCTGAGAAATATTTGATGTCATTCCCATTCTAACTTCAGAACCCTGATAGCATGAGTTTTAATTTACCCAGCTGAATAAAAGTGTGTCACTCAGTGGTGTGTGACTCATGCATGAGTTTGTCACTCAGCAGTGTCACTCATACATGAGCACCAGAGACTCTCACAAGACCACTTGGCTGGTGGTTTGAGTATGGCACCACCTCGTGGACAAGTCAAGTATCAAAGACAAAGCATAAGCCATTTGGACTGCTTCTAATACTGCAGTGTTGTTGTTGAGTCATTTCAAACATGTCCCATTCTCCGTTACCGCATTTTGGGGTTTTCTTGGCAAAGATATTGGAGTGGTTTGCCATTTTCTTCTCCAGCTCATTTTACAGATGAGGAAACCAAGGCAAACAGGGTTAAGTGACAAGCCCAGGGTCACGCAGCTAGGAAGTGTCTGAGACCAGATTTAAACTTAGGAAGATGAGTCTTCCTGACTCCAGGCCCAGCACTCTATCCACTGCGCCACCTAGCTGCCCCATATAATACTGCAGTGGCACCAGTGTAACTATTGTACCTACCAGGCACAGGCATAGTGGCCCTAAAGCTGGTGGATAACTTGAGTTCATTCTGATACATGGCCCGAAGCTTCAAATACAGGGCTATCGAGGAAGTCCATTCTCAAACACAAGCACAATATAGAGCAGCTACATCATCTCTAGTTCACCTGCAAATACAGCATTTCCCGGAATCAAGCTGTTCACCACCTTCTCTGGTTACAGGATTTAAGGTTTAAATCACCATAAGAAAGGTTGGTTATGGGGAAGAATTTTTCCAACTCTGAGAACTATGATTTACTGAACATGGGTTCTTTCCCTGAAGAGAGGGACCCAGAGAAAGGAAGTAGGTGTGCCAAGATTATACAACAGAGGCAAAATCCAGAAGCCTGGACTCCCACACTATCCTAAGGAGAAAGTCTTTTCCAGAAGAATTCTGCCTTGGGCCATTGAGTATAAAACTCCCTGGAATGAGAAACAGGTAGTCTTGTGGTTCATATTTCCTCCTACTCCAGCACCTAAGAAGTTAATCCAACTCCGGGAAAGGGAAATCTTTTCCCAGCATCTACGCCCCAGTGACTCAGGCCCGAGGGAGGGAAAAACAGGCAGCTTCCCTGTTTTCAAGGGTCATGACTCAACAGAAAGACAGAAAGGGACGAGACAGCACCAGATGGACGAGAACCATCATCCCCTTCCTCTACTGTCTCAGATTCTATACCTACTCCTTGGATTCACATGCAAGGTCCCCCTCCTCACTTCCCCCAGCCACCAAAAAAGGCCCAATTAACAGTGCCTGATCCTATTTAGCCCACAGATTCCAGGAAACAGCAACTCTCCTTTCCCAATCCATCCCAAAGGGAAATATCCCCTGACCTCCACTTCCTCTCTATCAGGTCACGGCCCATCCCCCTGCCCTTCAGTTCATTATTTCCCACAATAGCCTTTAACAGCTTTCTGCTGAGACCCCCTGGACATCTTCTTTCCAGTTGAGCCATCCCCCTTTAGCTAAATCCCAATTAATCCTACTCCTTAGAGAAATACTGCTGCCAGACTGAGAGCTGGAAGAGACCATCTAAGTCCAGTCCCTTAGCCTTACATATGACAAAATGGTCACACAGGTAAACAAGTAACAGAGCAGACATCTTAAATGGGTTTGTCTTCTGATTCCAGATCTATCATTCCACACCTAGACAAGCTCAAGCTCTTTCTCCTCCTTGCAGCGCTTCTGACTCTCCAGACTTTACCATCATCTTAAATGGACTTTCTCGGCCCACCTCCTCCCCACCCCTACTGCTTCCTTTTATGTGTAGCCTTCCCCTATTATTATGTAAGTTCCTCAAGGGCTTCAACTGTCTTTCTTTTTTGCTTGCATTTGTATCCCCAGCGCTTAGCATATAGTAGGCACTTAATAAATGCTAACTGTCGTTTATTAGTTGCCCTAAACGTGCCCTTTAGAGTAGAAAGCAAGACTAGGTCTTTAGGTCCCAGCCCAAGGAACAGAGGAAGTGTAGAAAGCTGGGACTCAAGTGAGAGTGGGAGGCCACTGAGGGGGTGGCCCAGTTACCACCCCCACCCCTGCCTCCTCCACAGCTTCCGGTTGTAGAAGGTTTTTCAGTGTGATTTCCTGTGCTAAGGTGAGTGGGGATCAAGAGTCAGAGTGAGGAAGAAAAGCTGTAGCTTAGTTCTTCAGTCCCAACCTTGACCCTGGGCGTCCCATAGCAAGTTCTCTCTGGACATCTTGTACTTCCTTCCTTCAAATCCTTCTCCCACTCATCCCCCAAGTCAGTTATCAAAAGTACTCAAGCTTTTAACTCAATTAATCAACACCTCCTATAAGTACAGCTTTCACTTCAAGACTATCAAGACTCTTGGGTAATTCAGTGGAACTCATCTAGTCTCAGACTTCAATATCCCAAGTCCAGCTTAATTCCTGCTTCCTCCATGAAGCCTTCCCTGACCACCCTCATCTGCTATGATGTCTCTTTCTCTCCCCTAAGCTCCCATAGCCTTTCTGGGCTGCAATGCTTCTTTGGTCTTTATAATATGTCTACAGTGCTCATCTGACACTTTTCATAACAAGTCTACTTAAATGACGTTGAGAACCACATCAACCACAATGCCTAGCCCAATGCCTTGAACATAGTAGAATTCAATAAATGCTTGTTAATAAATGAAAGGGAGGGGCAGCTAGGTGGCAAAGTGGATTAGAGCACCAGTCCTGAAGTCCAGAGGATGTGAGTTCAAGTCTGGCTTTAGACACCTAATAGCTGTGTGACCCTGGGCAAGTCACTTAACCCCAACTGCCTCCAAATAAAGAAAGAAAAGGGATTACACCTTTTCAGCCCCATTTCTTATCATCTTCCTAGTTTCATACTCCTAGATGCTTTGAGAACACCTACAGTTGGTATTTCCCAAATATCTGCCACTTAACCTCATCAAAAACCAAACTCATCATTTTCTTTGCCTACCTAGACATCTTCACTAACCATCATTTTCATGATTCCTGTGGTTCAATTTTTGCTCTTCTGTCCTCTATACATCCAATCAATCCTGGCAATTCTTCCTCTTCACTCACAGAGTCACCCCCTTCCTCTTCATTCCCCCTGTCACCACTGTAGTCCAAGTCCTCATTGACTCACCTAAACTTTAGCAACCACCTCTGAGCTTCCCTCCTGGCTCCCTTTATCCCATATACAGCAGTAGTCATTCATTCTCAGGTATCAGTCAGGAAGTCAAGCACATGTTGACTAAGTGAATGAAAACGAATAAAAACCTCCCACTTATCTACTGTTTGTGATTTGAACCTATATCTCTACCTCAAACACTTTAATCACATAATCTGGTCATTCCCCGGCCCAAGAACTTAATGGTTTCCTATTGTCATATCAGTTCTGATCTCCTTTGCCTAGACTTGTATTTAAGGACCTCACTTCTTCCCCAATCTCTCTCTTTCCGTTTCTTAATTACACTCCAGTCCTCTAACTCCAGTAATAGAAAAGGTGATCTACAATACTGCCCTCCTTAGGAACGAGCTTCTGTCATGTGGCTTACGTCATTTTCCTTACCTTCATCTCTTCCTGCTGTCTCCCAATCAGTGTCTCCCAACTCAAAACATCTCCACAAAGTTTCTGATGCTTAACTCCTTCTTACTGATTTCTCTCTTTTGCCCTCCACAACATACCTTATTAGGATGCTTTTAGGATCATAGAATTTAGAGCTAGAAGGGACCTAAAAGATTATCTGGTCCAACTCTTATTTTATGGTGAAGAGACTGAGGTCTACATAGGTTAGGTGACTGGCCCCAAATCACACAGGTGATTTGTGGTAGCAGAGCCAGGACCCTAACCCACCCAACAAGTCACTGCATTCAGCTAGTCTCTCTCCTGGTTCCAGTGCTCAGCCCTCACTCAGTAAGCTCAGAAAGGAGAGGGAAGGATAGAGAAGTCAAATGACAAAGAGAAGAGAAGAAAGGGAATGTAGGGTTATATGAGAAGAGAGGAAAAGAGAAGTGATAGTGAAAATAGCAACGGATATGGGCAAAAGACATGAGACAGGAGACAAGGGAAGAGGGAAAGAAGACAGACTGGGAGAGAGGCTGAAGAAATAGAAGAGAAAAATGGAGGAGGAGAAGTGATTGAGAGCCTAAAGAAGGACAAGAAAGAGAAGAAAAGGAAAATGAAGTGAGGCTGAAAAGCAGAAAATAAAACAAAAAGTTCAGGAAGACAGGGAGGCCATAGAGAGAGCTAAGAGCCCAGGGAATTAGAGTGAGTTCAAGACGGTGATGAAGACTTCAGAGAGACCTAGGTGGTGAGAGAAGAGCCAGGAGACTGTGGAATGAGGCCTAGAACCAGGAGTGCTGAGAGGAGAGAAAGGGGCATTTCTAATGACGAAGACAACTTTCCCACTTCCTCAAATTGGGCTGTAGGATGAGAAACTGAACTACAGCAGTTTGGGGGTTGGAAGAGGTGGGGTATAGAGTGGTACACTCTACTGTGTCATTTCAGGCAGATGACTGTACGGTCCAAGAACCCTCCCAGGCTACAGTAAAGGTTTAGAGTCCTGCGAAGGTTGGGGATAACCCCCAAGTAAAAGAAGGAACAGAACAAGCCTGGGACAAGAGACAGAAATACTTTACTCAGCCCTTAGCAATACCGCTCCCTGCCTCTTTCAAAAAACATCCCGTTACATAGCACCCCAAAAGGTCCATCACCCTTTAGGCCCTACCCCAAGGCTCTATTCCCCTTGCCCACTATACTTAGCAACCCCCCAACCATACCTTCATCCCTAACATTGTCTTTTCCTTTCTCCACAGATCGATCTGTTTTCATCCACTCTCACCAGAGTTCTTGCCAGGCAGAACAAAGTTCAAAATACTCAGATTCCTCAGAACTGGCCCTCCCACCACCACTATACCTTTCTCTTCCTCAGCTGGCAAGTTCCCTCAGCCCCTAATGAAAACCTGTCCCCTGCCCTCTCCCGATACCTATAGTTATAAATTTCTTCAATGTCTTAGGACCTGTCTTTCCTTGAAGACTCTGTCCTTCTTTCCCCATATGGTCTATCCCCCTCTCCCTAAATCCCTCAACTTTTCAGGCTCTGATCCTGCCTCGAGGGGACAAATATGGTGACCTGGCAGAGGACCTATAAACTTGGAGTACTTTTCATTGATAGGGAGAGGTTGGGCAGGGGAAGTGGGAACATCAGGGGTCTGATCCCCTGGGAACTGCGCCTGGTGCCCTGGTGCGCTGTATGAAAGCCATACCTCAATCCACCCCCCGACCACTGCCCGTTCCCTGTCCATCTCTCACCAGTGGCACCAAGCCAGGCAGGGTGGGGTGGCCCATGTCCGGCCTGGCTGTAGCTTCTCACTCCCCCATTAGGGCTCAGAGCGGCTGCTGCGGGAGCCGCGAGCGAGCTAGCAAGCGAACCAGTCCTGAACCGAGCACGGGATTCCGAGGTCAGAGACCTGAGCCAGGCTCTTGGGGACGGAGATCTAAGCGCAAGATGCCGACAAGTCCGAAGACAGAACTGGAGCCGCGGCTGGCACCAGAACCTGAGCCCTGGCTTGAGCCAGGGTCCGAACCTGAGCAGGCAGCGGGAGCCGAGAAAGCTAGGGGAAAAGAGGGAGGGAGCAAACAGGGTGTCGCAACCTCTGCTAGGACAGGAAGAGCCGGAGGAGGAGGCGGGGTGAAGCGGGGGAGGTAAAAAAAAAAAAATTAAAAAGACATTTAACCCTAACCCAACCAGGGATTCAAGAGTCCTGGATGAAACTTCGGGGGGTTCCCAGATCTCCGATGACTTCCATGCAAAAGTCAGAGAAATCCTTCCCCTCTTCCATTCCACCATTGGAGCCGAACCATCTAAACACCAGCACCTCAAACCCACAAATCACTTAATCCCTCAAAAATCCCAAGGCATCGCTAATCCTCATTGCCCCGCCCCTTTTGGGAAGGAGGGGGAAATAGCACAAGATGGGGAGACAAGAGATTCTGGGCTCTCCTCCCATTCTGCCACTAATCCTGTGTATGACCTTGGACAAGTCACTCTGAATATCAGTTTCCTCGTCTAATAATAGCAATAATAATAATAATAATAATAGGAAATATTTATAAAGCACCTAGTATGTGCCAGGAGTTTTTCTTTTTTAAAACAAATATTCTCTCATTTGATCCTCACAACAACCCTGGAGGGTAGGCACTATTATTATCCCGATTTTATAGTCGAAGAAACTGAGGCACAGAGAGGGTGAGTGACTTGCCTAGGGCCACACAGCTGGTAAGCATCTGAGGCTGGATTCAAATTCAAGTTTTCCTGATTCCAGAACCAGCACTCTATCCACTGTGCCACCTAGCTGTCTCATCTGTCAATAAAAATAAGAATAGTTACAATGATGATGTGGTAATAGTTAATAATTAATTATACCAAGACTTTAAAGTTTACAAAGCACTTCTTCACAGCAATGCCTTCAAGTTGGCAGTGTTTATATTATTATGCTCAACAGACAGATCTAACCCTAACCCTAGAAATGAAGAAAATCAAACTCAGAGAGGAAAAGTGCCTTGCTTGTGGTCACACAGCTAGTATGTTGCTGGACTCCAACTTGGTCTTCTGACTCCAAGTCCAAAGCTTCTTCAGATTTCCTGTAAGTATAATGGGAGTAATCACTGCGACCACCATGCCTCCATCTGCTGAACAAGAAAAAGAGTCCATCCTCTCAGAGGTATGCTGGTAAAATGTTTAACAACTGGCTGAGGGGAGTGGGGGAGATTGTTGTAAATCTAATCAGCAATATTAATATTTCTTCATCACTTTCTTAAGTCTAAATAAAATCATAAGTCAAGCCCTGATTTGTAAGCATTCGCTGATGTCCAAGGTGTAAATGCTCACACTGAAATTTAACAATCAGCTCTACAGCTAGTTTGAGCTGGCTCCAGCATAACTCTGCTTCCAGTAGATCTGAGGATGCAATCCCTGGTCCCTTCCGGTGAGGTGGCCCTTGTTGTTGTTTGTTGTTGTTTGCTTTGTCCTTTGTTCTTGAAGAGGACCATGGCAGCATTGGATTGAACTCTAAAAAAGATACAAAACCAGAGGCTTCTACTTGGTGCCCCTAGGGGTGGGAGGGGTGGGATATGTTTCAGGTCTGTCTGATAGTTCAGGTTCAAGAGGAATGAAATGAGACACTCATAGTCCTTCATACTATTATCAAAAAGGAGGTTTAATTAGCTATAGCATGGAAATGATACTCAACAAAATCATAATCTTTGGCTCAGATAGAAGCCATTCCCTCATCAAATAGTCAGCCTGCTGGGTGTGGAAACTTGGACAGCTTAAGGGACATTTCACCAACCCTGATAGGTATGGATTCTTCATGGACTGGTCTCTTTTATACCTTTGATGACCAGGATACTGAGTCAAAGACTCAGCCCTTAGTCCCCTGAGCGAATCAAGTCTCAGTGACAGTTTCCTTGCCTTTTAGGAAAAAACTAGCAAGGCCTTTTTGGATTCAAAACCACTGAAGGAATTTGCTGGTGCCTCCTACGGTGTATAGTTGTTTGTGGGGTGTGTTAGCACTGATTAAAGATATTATATGCCCTGTGCTAAACTAAACAACCAGGCTGATGCTGTTATAAGGACGAGAGATTGATGACCCCATGTCAAGGGACCCTAGCAGATACCGTTGTTATCATACCCCACACTGTGGTGGCAAGGTCCTTTAAAGCAGTCATGTCAAACTCAGATTGAAATGGCACCCACTAAACTCAACATAAGGATCCCTGTGAGGTGCATATTGACCTAGAAAACCACATATTAGATATTATATTTGTTTTATTGTATTTTTATTCATTTTGTTAAATATTTCCCAATTACATTTCAGGCTGGTTCTAGCTAACCTGGGGAGTGTTGGGGGCTGCAGTTTGACACACCTTTTTTAGGGGACTTTCCACCACTTACAGAGCTTTAGGGTCATTATTTGACAAGTCTAATCTCAGGGATGGGAGAAGCCTATAAGCAGCATTGGAGGATAAAGAGAAAAACTAAAACAGAAAAATAGTAAAAAGAAAACAACAGCAGCAGTAATTAACAGCTCCTTGAAGGAGTAACTGAATATGGAAGAGAAGGAAGACCGAAAACCCTCGGGTTTCCTTCCCCATTTTGGAAAGACAAGACCTGAATCTTGACAATCTGGTCTATGTAGTGGGCAGTGCCACATATCTGCATTCACAGTGCGGCTGCCAATGATGAAAAGCAGGCATTGAAAAGCACCGGGAACAACAGGACCACACCTTAGACAACACTTTCTGCAGTCATCAAACCTCAACACAGGTCAAGGTCATTTGTATTAAGGTAGGTGAGAGGTCCTCCTCCTGGATCACTGCCTTGTCATGGCAGAGGGGCTTACATAGCTCAATGAAACTATGAGCTATGCCATGAAGGGTTACTCAAGACAGAGTGAAAATGGAGAGTTCTGACAAAAGGTGATCCACTGGAGAAGGAAATAGCAAACCACTCCAGTATCTTTACCAAGAAAAACTCCATGGACAGTATTAAAATGTTAAGATATAGCCTCGGAATGGTGTGTTATGATCCGAGGGGTCATGAAGAGTAGGATATGACTGAACAACAAAAGGTATAATGTCATTACCTTCCTATATATAATCTGTCACATTGCCAGGGTCTGTACCCACCAGGGCTTCGTCCTCCCTGGAAACCACATGGTGAGGATGATACCAAATCTTTGTCCCTGTAGAGGCCTCTGTTAAGAGTCTGCCCTCCTACAGGGTCTGAGTAACGTTTTTCTTTTGCCTTCATTCAGGAACTCAAGATTACCATTAAGTCAGCTAAAAAATCCTTTGTTCCGGGTAAATTTATAATCATCATATATATACAGAGACAGTTTCACCTTCTCCCATATCATTAGAAAGCAAGGTACCTCCCCACAATTCCACCCATGATTCTCCAAGTCCTTTTTGGGAAAGAGCTATCTGAACAATCCTAGGGGAAAAAAAACTTGTCAATTTAGGGAAATCTGAGCTGTTTCTCCAAGGCATACGGAGCCCTTTGAGGGGACAGAGACCATAAGACCCAGGTGACTCCCCAAAGGGGAAGGAATAAGGAAAGGCCTGAAAGAATCGACTAGGGTTATGTCTAAAAACAACCCAACTTTATCAGGTAAGTCTTCCAGGAGACTAGCTGGATCTGATAAACCACTGGAATGGGGAAAATGGGTTAATTTGCTAACTGGGAGCAGATCAAAGATTACAAAAGATAGATGGGTACTCTGATTGGCATAAAGATCCTCTTTGAACAGAAGTAGCTGCCTCATCCTTAGGAGGATCATGTGTTGCAGCCCCCAACATCATGACTCCAACTTCCAGTTTGGCAGTGGACCCCTTCCCCAATCTCTTGTTATTGTTGTTATTATTCAGTACTTTCTGTCATATTTGACTCTTCAGGACTCCACTTGGGGTTTTCTTTTTTTAATATATATTTTATTTTTCTCCCAATTACATGTTAAAACAATTTTTAACATGTGGGGTTTTTTTAAGTTTTGAGTTCCAAATTCTATCCCTCCCTCCCCTCCTACCTGTCCCTCCTCCCTAAATTGGTAAGCAATCAGATATAGATTATACATGTGCAATCATGTAAAACATTTCCATATTAGTC